TATTTATTTATTTATCTATTTATTCATTTATTTATTTATTTATTTATTTATTTATTTATTTATTTATTTATTTATTTTTTATTTATTTATTTATTTATTTATTTATTTATTTATTCATTTATTTTTTTATTTATTTATTTTTATTTATTTATATTTATTTATTTATTTATTTATTTATTTATTTATTTATTTATTTATTTATTTATTTATTTATTTATTTATTTGTAATAAAATAAAGGAAGTTTGAAGGTATATCTTTTGACATGCTATACGGCTGCGTTGTTTGCAATATTTATACTAGGACATAATAGGCTATTTAAAGGCTTCTCTCTCCCCTCGGTGCGTGCATGTCGAAGACAATACACAGGGCATCGGCAGAAGATTTGCGGCTTGGCAGATAGAAAGCTTTAAATTACCTTACCCGTTCTCCGGGGCTACTACTTCGTCTTCGACTAGGGACCAGCTACCAATGCCCTGACTAAAGCCGAGGGAGTGGCCCTACTATGTAGGCAGAGACGACGAGGATGGTGTGCTAGGGTATGTTAGTCCCTAGTAAGAATAACGGCTTAAAAGGCATGCGCTTTGCTTGGCACCAACAGCCCTTTTAAGTGCTACCTCTTTTCATTGCTCAGGTTGCTGTTCCATTAAGGTCTCATTGTCTGCCGTACAGTGACCTACTTTTGGCTCAAATTTCATATATTTGCCTAATACTCCCTAGAAATTGCATGGAAATAAATTAACTCTTAAAGGGCATGACTGGTGACATCTCCGGGGTCTGTTCTCGACAGGCGAAAGCTGCGATGTGTGCCTTAACGTTGGGATGGGCCCTCCGTAAACATAGACTATATACATACATACATGCTATCTGAGGAATCGAAAATCTTTTTAACTTACAATATAAAGTGGTTTGGTAAGACATCTTTATAAATTGAATATGTACATCCATTTTGAATATATATTAAGCAATTATACTGAAAACCTGAAAGAAAGAATTATCAGAAATTTTGCACACAAGTTATTAGTCTACACATGAATGAAATGGAACAAAAAAATAACAAAATTGTTTTGTCACGACCCTTTAAATGCAACTAATATAAATAAAATCCGAAAATCTAATAACAAAAATTCAAAGGTTATAAATTGGTTAACAATCGCCTCTCTGTAAATTGGATCTTTTTTAGGTTATTTACGCCCTTATTTATGTTTAAGATACATGGAAATTATAGCATTTTATAGCAACACTATCTATTTTTGAAAATACAATTTATTTCCATATCTTCCCTAAATATTTGAAATTGAGATTACAAATTTTAGTTTACTTTAAGGTAAGGTTTCCCTGACATGTGTTCGTGAAAGGTAAATATTAACCACACTCGACACAATTATTGTTGATAAGATGTACAATTTGACAAAACAATCCCTATGCCTTCGCTAGTGAAGACTTCACAATAACAGTGTTTTGCGGCTCAGGAAAAAATAATATACATGTTTCCAGTCAATAGTTCTGTCTTTTTCCAGAAAATTTATGATATGGTGACCGGTTGCAGCCATTTCAAACCCGCGAGAAATTCTATCGTTTCTTCCCCAAAAACGAATTTTCATAAAAAGTCGCGAGTAAAAAAAAATCCCGACATTTTAGCCGCGACTTTTTGTAATAAATCTGCGATTTTTAAGTCGCGACTCTGCGCAGAGACATATCCGGGCATGAAAAGTCTTGGCTTAATGCTCAAACGCGACTTTTTACATGGTATGCATAAAAAATATTGTGGATTATAATGACCGCAAACGGCTACATAAAGTAGGTATACAATTATGTTTGCTGTAGCTTAGTCTTCTATGTAAACAGAAAATATCGCAGTTCTCTTAGTAAAACATACGGTGGCACAAATGTGACATGTGTGTATTTTTATTTATCTCGTGGCCACGAGATACTATGTCGTGGCCACGAGTTACTTCATGTAAGTCGTGGCCACGAGATAGCTAAGTCGTGGCCACGAAATACAATGTCGTGGCGACGAGTTACTAAGTCGCGGCCACGAGTTTCTAAGTCGTGGCGACGAGTTACTAAGTCGTGGCCACGAGTTACTAAGTCGTGGCCACGAGATAGTTTAGTCGTGACCACGAGATACTATGTCGTGGCCACGAGTTACTAAGTCGTGGCCACGAGATAGCTAAGTCGTGGCCACGAGATACTATGTCGTAGCCACGAGTTACTAAGTCGTGGCCACGAGATAATTAACCAATCAGAATACACTATATATATTATGAATTTTTTTAACTTAACAACTTACTTTTACATGCAACATTAATCTTTGAAAATACTGAAGATATTCACTTTGAACTTGTCTTTAGGATCATATTAGAAAGTCACCTTCCAAGGCCCATCAGACATTAAATTTTGACTATAGCTCTTTGTTGGAACAATTTTGTGATCGAATTGGTCAGTTTGTACGTACTACGACCTGTTAACCTAGTTTATAAGACAACATGAGAAGGAATAAGTCCTGGTTTATTTTATGTGGAAGGGACATTGCCCATGGGCAGTAGATAGCCTATAAGGTAAAATCCTTGTCTGATGAATAATATGGAAGGGATAGGCCATGTTTTATATAACCCAGAAAGATCATTGCACCTGATCAGTAGATGACATCTAATAATTTCGAGGTCATTGGGTCGAAAATCAGGGTCACAGTGACGCTAAATGTAAAATTATTCACCAGTCAATAAGTTGTATAAATGGCACTTTTACAGGCTGATGAAGTAGGGGCATCCTTGTACATTAGCACATTTCTGGTTAAATAGGGAAATTCATATAAATGGTGTAATCTGATTGTTTATTTATCTCGTGGCCACGACTTAGCTATCTCGTGGCCACGAGATACTATGTCGTGGCCACGAGATAGCTAAGTCGTGGCCACGAGATACTATGTCGTGGCCACGAGTTACTATGTCGTGGCCACGAGTAACTAAGTCGTGGCCACGAGATAGCTAAGTCGTGGCCATGAGATACTATGTCGTGGCCACGACTTAGTAACTCGTGGTCATGACTTAGTAACTCGTGGTCACGACATAGTATCTCGTGGCCACGACTTAGCTATCACGTGGCCACGACATAGTTACTCGTGGCCACGACTTAGTATCTCGTGGTCACGACATAGTAACTCGTGGCCACGACATAGTATCTCATGGCCACGACTTAGTAACTCGTAGCCACGACTTAATAACTCGTGGCCACGACATAGTATCTCGTGGCCAATACTTAGCTATCTCGTGGCCACGACTTAGTAACTCGTGGCCACGTCTTAGTAACTTGTGGTCACGACATAGTATCTCGTGGCCACGTCTGAGCTATCTCGTGGCCACGACTTAGTAACTCGTGGTTACGACTAAGCTATCTCGTGGCCACGACATAGTAACTCGTGGTCACGACATAGTATCTCATGGCCACGACTTTGAAACTCGTGGCCACGATTTAATAACTCGTGGCCACGACATAGTATCTCGTTGCAACGACTTAGCTATCTCGTGGCCAAGACTTAGTAACTCGTGGCCACGACTTAGTAACTTGTGGCCACGACTTAGTAACTCGTGGCCACGACAGAGTTTATCGTGGCCACGTCTTAGCTATCTCGTGGCCACGACTTAGCTTTCTCGTGGCCACGACTTAGTAACTCGTGGCCACGACATAGTTTCTCGTGGCCTAGACTTAGCTATCTCGTGGCCACGACATAGTATCTCGTGGCCACGAGATAAATAAAAACACACACATTTCACATTTGTGCCACTGTAAAAACACGACAAAAGTGAGACAGAAAAACTCGACAGTTTCTACAAGCCGCCACATTTTATACAAATTTGACATAAAATTTCGCGGATTTAAAAGTTGCCCACGACATTTTATAAACTGATGGTAAAATTTCTCGCGGCTTATAAATGGACGCTATCGGCCACCATAGATAAAGGATAACTTTTTATCTACTTTGTATTATCATAACGATGCAAAAACATGCAACATAAGAGGTTTGTACCTTTCTACGACTGACTTTGCATACTGATATTCCCAATAGAGATCGTCATCGTTCAACAACGTCACTTAAAAATTTTGAGATAATGATAATATGAATTTTTTATATTGTCACGTACCACGCGTTTATTTATTTTTCTTAATTTTTTATTTATTTATTTATTTATTTATTTATTTATTTTATTGCATCCTATGGCATGATCATTATTTTGAAATGTAGATCATTTTGCAATCGATTGAACAATATCCAAACCACTATTAATTTACTACAATCCGCCTTGAAGTACCAGTATCTTAACTTTTATTTACTTAGCCTTTTATGATTAATATGATTTACTGCAATAATATATTACATTTTAACTACTTCCGCTTTGCACAGCGCGTGGAAGTTCATAATTGTATCCGGGTAGATCCTAGCCGCACAATAACAAATTCTCTTTCCGTGCAACACAAACAGTGGCAAAATATTCTATGTGAAAAAAATTGTAACTAATTCCTGCACATTTGAATGAACTGTATAACGAAAAGATTGAATGAATTTGTATGAACTCTTCACATTCTTCACCGAATAAGTTTGTATGAAACTTCATGTTTGATGCAGAAACTCGTGCATAGGATTGTTATAAGCATATACTGTAATTATATCATTACATCATCTTGGAATGCGGATATACGAGCGGTACTTCAAAAAAGAAACATATTAATATTTCAGACAGGTAATCCTCAATCAAAACTGCCGAAGTTACAGTAAATAACAAATAATTATTCAAACCATTTTTTTCTTGCTAAATGTAAGTTTTTCTCTAAGTGCACATCCTGTACAAGGCACATATATATAAATACTATTGTAACACCGAGCGCATTTTAAAGCAGCGAATATTGCAAGTATTAGGTGTTGTTATCAAATGAGAATTAACGGAGAACGGAGATTATCTATTAAGATATTCAAAGATAAAGATAATATCAACATAAGGATTAAACTATCGAATAGACGTATAATGACGAGTCTAAAGTCACTCATTTCGTTCGCCATATATGGAATTTATACATTGTAAAATTTTAACTGATAACTCCATGTGTGTCCAGGATCTGGGCAAGTAATTCAAAGTTCAAAGATAAATATCATATTATCCTACGTACAATTGCATTTGTTGTACAAACTGTCATAGGAAGACCAATGAGGAGTTAGCAAAAACTTTTGCGTATATATAAATACATGGACCGTCTACGATTTCCATCACTTTAGTTGTTGACGCCAAAAACAATTAATTTCTGTTTAAATTAGGAAAACATTTTGAAATTAAAAATGCGACCTAACGAAAAATTTGAGCAAAATGGCAGAAACGGAGAGCACATTATTACTAATGGGTTCTGTATGCCAAGTTTAATTATGAAGAAAAGAGATGGTGGGAAACTTTCTAGGCACGAAATTGAATACTTCATCCGACATGTTGTAAAAGGCAATGTTCAAGATGGACAGTTAGGTATTTACTTTTTAAGTTTTTTTATTTAAATTATTGCTGAAATTATTGCTATAAGAGATGTTTTACTTAAATAGATTGTTTAGAAATTTTAAACAAACTATAGTCACTGTTAACGTTCACGCCGTGGTTTTAAAATGTGATTTTATTATTTCTAATATTATTATTATTTTGTTATTTTCTTTTTTTATTATTTCTTTTTTATTATTTAGTTTGTTTGATTTTTTCTTTTCCTTTTGATTTATTATTATTATTTTATTTTTTTATTTACAATGTTTTATTTTGTATTCGTTGAATATGCTGTTTTACTGAAATATTTTACATATTATTTTGATATGGTATTGGTTTTGTTGAATGTTAAAGATGTATCATGCACAAATTTCATATTCTAACAGATTGATAATTACTATACAGTCTTTTTTGAAATGTAAAATAAACATCTTTTGAATACACACAGAAAAAATATGTTACGTTTTTAACTATGCAAACTTACAGGAAATCACAATATAATTACATAGTGTCATTTAAAAAGACAAAAACTGGCAGTTTTTGTAAAAATATACCTAATACATTTGACAAGAAATAGGGAATTATAGCTTCCTAAACATGATTTATACATTTACTTTCAAATTAGACATATTCAGGGAGAATTCACTAGATTTCAATTAATTTCTGTAATAAAAATATTTTACCCAAAGATGAGCAAAGTATATCATTAAAAACCAATTTAATGTAAACAAACGCAGAACGTAGTTTGGAAACTATGTATGGTACAGTTTTCTGTAATTTAACAAACAATAATATGAGCCGCGCCATGACAAACCATATATTGCGTTTGCGACCAGCATGGATCCAGACCAGCCTGCACATCCGCGCAGTCTTATCAGGACCCATGCTGTTCGCTTACAAACCCTATTACAAGTAGAGAAACTGACAACGAACAGCATGGATCCTGATCAGACTGCGCGGATGCGCAGGCTGGTCTGGAACCATGCTGGTCGCAAACGCACTATGTTGGTTTTGTCATGGCGTGGCTCATATTATAACATTGTGTAGTGATTTAGTTGTTAGTATCTTAATGTATTCTGTTCCTTTGCTAGTTAGTTAAGTTTTTTTAATTGACGTATTTTCATAGGCATTTAACAACATGGCTCAAGATGAATCATGACTGAACAAGATTTTTTTACAATCTATTTCTATTATATAGTAGGCTCATACTCAGACGTAAATAAAATCACGTGACTCTCATTTATCTTTGCAAAGACAACATAAACTGCCGGTTTATCAGGTCTGTAACACTGACACACAAAAATGTGAAAAATATTGAAAAATTTCCATACGTAAATGTGGGGTTGCATCATTTTTTAAACTGCAAATGCGTGATCAGTAAAACCTGACCGAATTTAAATTGATCCTGTTTTGAACCAACTATTTCATCAACGAACGCGCGTTCATAAAATGACCTTCAAGAGCAGTCAAAACGCGGTCATGTTATGTTCTAAAAAGTACATTAAAAATAATGAAACTTTGTCAACTGCTTAGCGCGAGAGCGATCATATCTAAAGGAGTTGATAAGGTTGCTAAGTGGTCTTATAGATTACTTAAGTCGCAGTCGACTCTTGAGAAGCGACCGACCCTTGTGTCTTGAAATGAGATCAAAGTAACAAGTAATTTTCAGAAACAGGTGATGAAATATCGAGTTAATTCTCGAAATTACCATAGACAAAATACAGACTAGGGTATTTTCACTGCGTTCTTACTTATACCATTTCTTATATTCTGGTGGACAGTTCAAACTATGTGAGAATATTGCACATGTTAAAATATATAGTAAACTCAATATTGCAAATTTATTATTTATTTGTTCCCTAAAAAGACTGGGGTTTTTTTTTGCCTGTAAACATTCTCTAAAACATTCTATATATATTTGGGGAAAAAAATCTAGATATTGATTAAAGTTTCTTCCCGGCAAGGTTTATTACATGACGTAAATTCTAAAATTTAAAAATCATTAAAAAACGAAAAGGGACAGAATTGATAACGAATGATGTGTTTAACTTTCCGAATTTAGTACCCATTTAAAAAGCGTATAATTTTTGTCGTCTGTTGCTAAATTCATAAAATGGGGAGCATTGGCGAAATTATACGAAGTAAGATTGGATGGAACACATGAAATTGAAAATTAGATCAGGTCATTGGGCTACTTCTCTACTACGTCGTTACACTTTCTGACTATGTTGACTTAGTTTGTTTGGGTATTTCATTGAATAAGAGTATGTTTACTTCCTTATCAGTTTAAATGTTTGTCTACCGTCTCGTAAATTTACTATCTGAAACTGTCCAATATAATGATAAATGATGGAGGTAAGCAAACAAAATTCAAACCATTATTATTGGTATTTTATCAAGTGAGAGACTTTCTTATCGTATATAAGGTCAAAGGAAAACTATACTGATTGAAGGCCCAGAATGATTTAATTTTCATTTTTCAAAAACTTTTTAATTTTGTTACAATTTCCAAAAGAGACAATAGAACATTGACCGGAAACATGGTTCTTCAAATATTTGAAAGACCCTGCCTGACCTATTTTTTTGTGTGTAACATACTGCAATTTAGCACAGTGAGAATGATTTCTTATTTTTTTATATAGAAGTCAATTTTCTACTTTGTTTACATTTTGCATTCAGAGCTAGTTCCTTCAAATGAGAAGCATCTGACATGCTAAAAAAGTACTATTTAAACGTTATAATGTTTGCTCATGTTTGCTCTTTCCAAAAAAAGAAAAAAATACTTGTTTTTAAGGCATACATAATGTGCCAGTAACAAATCCGTAATAGCTAACAATAATTTTACAAGGCCCTAACATTATTTATTGAACTGGAAAGGGAAAGATAAATTTATTACGTTGTTTGGTCATGTTAAAAGGTGACCTTCGCTGCTCTGTAAATATTTTGATGATGAAATAAAGGCAATGGCAATAATAAATAGGATGCAAAGGCGAATTTAACCTAGTAAAAAGTTGACATCTTCGGCGGGAAGCCTAAGATCTACGTTTGGAGGAAAAATTGCTCGTCCTATCAGAATGACTAGACCGCATAACTATCGAGTGAAAGTCACCTTTTAGATAAACAGTTCATACACTATCAGAGTAATCTAAATTACTAAAAAAAAAACATACACTACAATCACAATCAAGTCCACCTTGTAATGCGTGAAATGTGAGACTTGTAATGCGTTTCTGCTGTAATGAATTTTTATGCATTATACAGTGAAGCCTCTGCAGAAGGGCTCTTTGTAAAGCCATTGCCTCTTTGCAACCCAAGAATAAATTATTCACAAAATAGATTTAACTTCTCTTGAGCAACACTTCTCAGCAACAGCCAAAGTCATTGTCTCAAAAAGCTAAAACTGCATATTAAAATTCAATTCATATTCCAGTTAGCGAATTTGTATTTCTGTCTAACGGAAACGGAGTGGTTAACATCAATATGTATTTATTGTGTATTTAAAGGTGCCATGTTAATGGCAATGTTCATCCGAGGTCTTGACGATGCGGAGACTGCCAGCCTCACACGAGCAATGACACATTCTGGAGATGTTCTCAAATGGCCAAAAGAATGGAAAGGTTCTATTGTCGACAAACATAGCACAGGTGGTGTTGGAGACAAGGTCAGCTTAGTACTGGCACCTGCACTTGCAGCCTGTGGTGTAAAGGTAACGGATTTTATATACCTTTGGATATACCAGCCTCCTACTCCCCATTCCCCTGTTAGAGCATCTTTTAACTTTGTCAATATCCATTCCCTGTAAAATTAAACTGAATATGTTTTATGGTAAGAATTTTTTTCCTGCTATACTTGTTTCATCACTCTATATACATTTTCATCATTGTCTTTGATTTATATATATTATACTGTGCATGCAGTCAGAGAAGAGATGTATATTGTGCCAGAAACTGGCGTTATTGTATGTTCAAACCTCGAATAAACGTAGATTCTTTATTGTCATCAAACTAGGTCATTTTAATTTGTAAACAAGGGTTTGGAAAGTTTAATCTTAAGTTATTTTGATATGAAACTATCCACTATTTGATGGCATTAGGCCTCTGAAGTAAAATTGAGACGTAATTTCATCATGTTTACAAAACGAGGTTGTGTCAAATGAGATACCTTAGTAGGTCAAGGCCTGTGAAAGTAGCAAATTTATGACATATTGACCAAGTTCAACGAAAATGTTGTATAATAATTTGGATTATAAATATTTACAATGCTTAACTTGTTTTATAACATATTGAACTTTAGCATGAGGGTGACCCACTTACCTTTATCAAAATCATTTAGTATTACATATTTTATATTACTAATACACATGTTTTGTGGGGTCTGTAGGGGGGAGGATGGGTTTGATTCTGCATTTTTTATTTCAATGATATGATCAAGTACATGTCTGTGCAAATTTGTGTTCATGGCTATGAAAAGTATAGTTTGCAAGCATTCTAAAAACGGTCAACTATCAATTTTAATGGCCTGAGTAACGTTTGAAAGTCATGTTTCACTATTTAACAAAAGAGGCGATGGTGGTGTATATGAATTATAGAACGATTTCTTGAAATTCTGACAGAGTTCATTATTATTTGCATACAGTCATGGTTGTAGAAGGTCATTGATAACGATAAGATACATCAGTTTTATGCAATATAAAATAAGGTTGATTTTTTATTTACAAATCTAAAGTTTTATTCTACCAGTAAAATGATTATCTGTTATACTAATTTTTCAGGTACCTATGGTGTCAGGTAGAGGTCTTGGTCATACAGGTGGAACATTAGACAAACTTGAATCTATACCAGGTTTCAACGTTTCCCTTTCGCATGATGATATGCTTAAAGTATTGGAAGATGTAGGATGTTGTATTGTTGGTCAAACAAGCAACCTTGTACCTGCTGATAAAATTCTGTATGCTACACGAGATGTCACTTCAACCACAGAGTGCATTGGCCTCATCACATGTAAAAACTTAATCTTTACTTTTGCTATATCGTCACCATAGTGCAATAATGAAATAAATGCTTCTTAATTTAATAGGAGTTATTCAGTTATTGCACTAAGGTGACGATATGTAAATGGACTTTTCCAGCTTTAAATTTTGAATTGTTCAAAAACAGAACGTGTTATATTTGATTTTAGTTTACTCCGATAATGTGTAAATTTGAAAAGGATCTTCATTGTATAATACCAAGACAGTTTTCAATGAATTTACCAAATACAAAGGAATAAGTAACCATAATATATGATTGCTTGATTCTACGAATTGCAGCGTCCATTATATCAAAGAAAGTTGCCGAGTCACTAGATTCGCTGGTGCTAGATGTCAAGTTTGGCCAAGGGGCGTTCAGCGATACTGAGGAAATGGCCAGACAGCTTGCAACAAGAATGGTAAACCCTTTTTGTTATATGACGAAGTTAGCTTCCCTGTAACTAATATTCGTTTGTTTTTGTTTTTTTGCACAGATTACAGACTAATGACTTATTTAAATAGCCAATTTTCTGACAAAGCTTAAAGCACCGTTAATAGTTGATTGTGTGTTTAATTTACAAGATAATCTTAATTCACTAGTAGGGTTTATTATAACAGCTATTTTCAAAACTCATCTTATTAGAATTTGATTTTTAAGGTAAAGGCTGGTAATAGATCTGGTGTCAAAACAGAAGCCTTGTTGACTGACATGAACTCCCCACTTGGCTACATGATAGGAAACGCTCTTGAAGTAGCCGAGTCGATCGATTGTCTTCATGGAAAAGGGCCAAAGGATCTAACAGAATTGGTTAAACAATTAGGTATGCTAAGATATAGCTTTAAATGTGTTGATTTATAAGTACATTTTAGTTTAAACAATATTTTATTCACAAAATAATACATGGTAGTACATTACAAATAGTATTGACTTTGTTATACATATATTAACATATTATGAAAAGAAAAAAAACGAACACAATATATTTCTTATATTTCTTTTGGAATCGGATATGAAAACAAGTTATGTTAAAGACGGTTTGTTTTTCTTTAAAGTTTATTAACGAGTTAAAGAGTTTCGAAATTATTGTTTATGCGAACAGTTAGGCTAATTTAGGGAAAGAAAAAAGACGGTTTGTTTTTCTTGAAAGTTTATTAACGAGTTAAAGAGTTTCGAAGTTATTGTTTATGCGAACAGTTAGGCTAATTTAGGGAAAGAATAAAGCATATTTATATGCATAACTAATGCCTTTTTATTGGAAAGATATATATTAGGAAAGCTTGATTTATTTGTAAATGAATAAATGAAAACACTGACACTTTATATTGAATTTGACAGGAGGGCGATTGTTGGCCAGTGCCAATAAAGCTCCAAGCTTAGAAAAGGCATTCAGCATGATTGATAAGACTTTACATGATGGAACAGCCATTGCCAAATTTGCTGATATGATGAAAGCACAGGGTGTAAATGCTGACGTCGCCGACAAACTGTGTGCTAAAGACGCTGACGTTTTTGAAATATTGCCAAAATCCGAACATACCACAGAACTGAAAGCTAAAACATCCGGTAAATTACTATAACATCATTCTTGATAACATCTTTCTTGTATATTTTTATGTAAGTTTTAAACAGTAAAGTTAGAATGCCAGATTATTCACGATATTATAGGTATTACGTTTGAAACGTTCAACATTCAAAATAAATAATTACTTAATATTTAGATAAACGTTATCCAAAATAGTATATAATGTATAGAAACAATCATAAATCTATGTTTATAGTATTAATACCGTAAAATATGTCGTAGTGTCAGCAAAATAGTGTGTCTAGAAACAATTATAAATACTAAAAGACAATGCTTTATGTATAGGTTATGTTCATGGTATTGATGCTATGAAATGTGCTGTGGTGTCAGGAAAACTCGGAGCTGGTCGAACAAAGGCTGGAGAAGCTATAAGTCCTGATGTTGGGCTCACTCTTTCCGTCCAGATAGGAGACAAAATTGAAGAAGGTAGCTAAATGATGCCAAAACTTTCAACTTTAACAAAACTATCAATTTTAGATACGAGTATATCCTTGCAACCAACCAATCATGCTAAACATGCATTAACAAGATATTTCAGATTGTCTGAATTTTTTTATTTAAAATCAGAATTGTTTTTTCCTAAATTACCTATATTACCTTGATCAATCTGACATAAAACTCCACATAAAAGAAGCTTACAGTATTGTCACATTAAACACAGTATATCATACTCGGTTTGTATATTAAATTTTGCTTTGTTAATTATGTCTTCATTGAATCTTGCATGAGTTTTCAATGTTTACAAGTTTATGAAGTGTTACAAAGTGAATATATTATAAACAAACTTAAGACTCTTTACAATACAACTTTTCGCAATCAACTCGGGCAAAACAACCATCAGATTATATTACCTTGTTCACAAAAATGCACACGAAAATAAAGTTTATTGAATAAATAAAAACGACAAACAATGAAAGTCTTGTTGTATATTTGAGGCAGTTTTTTACCTATCAGTCCCATCAATAAATAAATGAATAATATAAATAAATGATTAAAATTTTACTTTAAATTTGTGATTTATTGCAAATTCAAAACCACCGAATAGAAAATATTTAACACTTATATTTTATGAATTAATTCCTTTACAGGCAGCACATGGGTGACAGTCCATCACAATGGCGAGTTACCGATTGTATTATTTGAAAAGATAAGTGGTGCCATTGATATCAAGCCAGATATAAAACAGACAACTGGGAAGGTCCTTGGCGTCATTACAGAGAATATTTCTGAACAATAAACTTGTGATTTTTATCACTTTCGAATGCAGCTAAACATTTATATATCATTTTTATTTACGCGTTTCCAAGTGGTTGCACACGATGTACTTTATTTAAATGTTATTGCATTCATTATGGCAGCTTGAATCTCATTCCTGTTAATAATATAATACCATGTTTCCAATGGTGTTTTACAAAAATAAAGGACATTATACTATTTGAAATTTATCAACAATTATTCATCCTTGAACATAGAAACTACAAATAAAAAATGTAAGTGTAGTATGAAATGGTGAAAAGAAGGTTTAACTACTGTTTGGCGGCAAGGATGTGACGGTCAGGTCTGCAACGATCGCATGGGTAAAAACTGTTACCATCAGCTGGTTAAGGCCTAAATACGAAATCAGTTGTAATAAAGTAAATTTATCACATTTACGGATATCTTTGGTCATTTTCGAATATTTAATTCTAGATTTTTGTTGGTTGTGAAAGTAGGTTGCTCAATATATATTTCATTTAATTTACTATGTAAATATGTAGATAAACATATTGATTAAAGTGCCATACAATCCTTACAACGATTTATATGTTTTATAAGACTTTGTCTTAAAGTAGAGTGACATTATTATAGATCCATTTTTTATTTTTAATTCAACAGTCCTGTGGGTAAAATACTTTGTTACAATAATGTATCGATCGGATAGCCATGTGTTTTACCATTAAATAGAAAGCGTGTAAGTGATTTGTTCAATTTACTATCATGAAATTTTATCTATTTGGTAAAAGTTATGATTTACAATACGGTGTTATTGTTTGTTTGTTGTTTTTTTATTATTAAAATTTTTCAGTTATATATCACTGACAGTTTTTCGTGCATTGTTACATATTTTTGTCTGATATTGTTTGTATGCTGTGTAAATTATTAATTTAGAGGTTATTAAGTTACTACGTGATGCATTCATGCAATATGTGAAACTTAAAGAGTTTATAGTTTGCTAAACATTTTAATTTTAATTCATAAGACAGATCATCTTAATGGTTTTATATAATTGTTGTTGTTGTTGTTGTTGTTGTTGTTGTTGTTGTTGTTTTTGTTGGGTTTTTATGTAGAGATTGTACCATCGAGGATTGAAACATTTTCTGATATAAAAAAATGTAAGTTAAAATCTCAACATGAAAATTTGAAATAAAAAAACTATTTCGCCACGTTCCTATATTATTTGTAAGGTACATGCATAAATCTGTAATGCTTAAATTTTATGTTTCCATTTACAACCAAATATTGACGTTCAAAGCTCCTGCGCCACATTTCTACGTATGCGCTTTACAAATAACTATACAAAAATTGTGTTTTGCCCACAAATTTTATAAGATACACGATTTTAAAATTTTAATTATAGCTCAGACTTTAATCTGCAGTCTGTCCATTCTTTGCCTAAACACACTGCTGACTTGATGTTTGTAAAAAAAGATAAATTTTGTAAAAATGTAATGTGTCAGAAGACAAATGAGAAGAAAATGTAAATTTAACAATCATCGACAATGTTTTAGAACAATTATATGCTACATTTTAAAGATTAAAATGAGACATATTTTTCATTTTCTGACATAGATCAAAGCTATAAACTACATGTATATATTAAAAAAGATAATTTACCATCTAATGATTGAAAGAAGTAAAATTTCAATTAAAAAGATAATAAAGTAATAATTGCAAGTATTGCATCACGCTAGTTGAATCCAAAAAAAATATTAAAAATGCATGTATCATGTTGTGTGTTTGTGTATAGTATTACAATAAATTGTTTTGATATTTGAAAGTATTTATTGTGTTTTGGTAGACAAGATGTCACTCCAGGCCATAGATATTTGTCTATTTAATTAGACAATCAAAAAATGTTTGCAAACGGCACTCTTTCAGCGTCGAGGGTCAAATTTTGCATTCTTGTAGGCTGTTCTGAAACACGTGCTATCAGTAGGGCAGCGCACTCGAATATTTTCAGTGCTTGATAATGAAATAAATACGGTCTGGATGAGAGTAAGATTTCATTCAAAATACATGACATAATTATGAGCCTTTAATATTGACGGTTAATTGTAATCACAAAGACATGTGAGATACATTCAATAAGTGGGAAGATTGATGTTGGCCGATTCAAAACTTGAACCAGGAATCACAATTATTATCTAACTGTCCGGTTATCTCAATAGGAAGAGCGTTTAACTGTGAATTAGGCGGCCCGAGTTTGATTCCCGGAAGGTGAAGATCATTTTCTGAAATTGATAATGAAATAATTTTTACGGTTATTCGCGCTATAACGTATATATATAAACTTCAGTCAAAATGAATACTAGAGTCATGAACAGTTTAAAGTGACCTCTTATTATGATCATATAGACACGTATACAAATTCAACTGATTGCCATCAGTAATTTTTACGATTAATCTTACAAGTGTCATAATTCATTACAATTTCATGACAAGTTAATATAAACCCGTACACGTGCATTAGGGTCCAAATGAATACCTCCATTAGTTTTTTTTTTTTTTTTTTTTTTTTTTTTTTTGTTTTTTTTTCCAAGAATAACTTGTTAAGGTGTTCCTCTGAGGTCAAAAAGCTTTAAAACATAGTTTGAAATTTTTACTACATTGATCAAGTGTAACACTTAAAATTGATCAATCTGCAGATGATAATAATAAAATATTCTCAGAATTAAATTGATAGTCATTGTTTTGCGATTCCTTACCCAATTTCATGGAAATTGTTGCAATCCTTTTCATTTTTGGGCCATTTTGTACAGAAAAATGTGGCGAGGTCTAAAAATTGGCACACAAAATTTTGGTCCAGACCTATATCAGAAGGTACACACTACTCGGAATAATATCATCAGTCCCGTAGTTTCAAAATTACTCAGTGAAGTCCATTTACCCAGTTCACAAAGGGTTATAAACCTGTTACAATCAATGCTAGAGTAATGTGGCTTGGAAGGTTCCTCCAACTACGATGTTGAATAACATGTCATAAGTTTTAAGGAAATACATTCAATGAATCTGAAGACTAGTGTCGCATGCAAAATAGTAACCAAGTATTGTTACGATTAACATAGGACAATAAATCACCTCTTTACGTTTTTATAGTTTTAAGTGGAAGCCTTAAGTACTTTAGAAGGTTGTTTTACATGCAAGCCTTTATAAGGAATGTTCTTACTTCGCATGAAGCAATTAATGCAGTCACAATCCATGCCAGAGTTAAGGGTCTTGGGCAGTGGCGCCCACTTAGGATCTTAAAGACAAGTAAGAAGGGATAAGCAAATATGTTAAGTGGATGATAAATTTTTAAGCTGTACAAGTTGTATGCAAAACTGTATTCAAAGTGTTTAAATGAAAATTATGATGAAAATGCACTGGTGAATAGAACAGCCCTGGCTATAATTCTTTTAAATTTGAGCTAAGAATCAGGCTCGACTTTGAACAGTTTATTTTGTTATGATATTTTTTGAAGCTATGTCTACTTTTTGCTAAAAATAAAGACATGTTTTAATAACTATGTATTCAACACTATTTTCGTGATTATGACTTACAATACACAACATTACAAAGCAAACTTTAAAAGTATATGGACATTCTATGCAGAATTACAAGAGAGTAAGAACATACACATATATATCAAAACATGTCTCATCGTCAATTTGAAAACATTAAAGTTAAGCACGGAACACCTGCTTATCATCTGGTAAAATAAGTAGATTTACTATATACGTGTATATAGATGAAACTTTAATAAACTAATGTTTTAATTATGGATTTAATCAGAGCATGTGATAGGGCCTATATAAGATCAGAGTTGTTGGTGTTAATATTGAACAATGAATGTAAATGCTAGGCTAAGTAGGATAAAGTTATTTCCTTATAAGTTCAGACATTTCTGGTTTCATTTCAAACATTGTATTTTTGAGCTAGATATGTTATCTGTTGATATTGAGTAAAAAGAAGTCCAGTGACAATCCAATGTATAGTACATGCAGCCCTTTTCATAAAAAAAACACCTAAAGGAATAAAACAAATAATTTAACTGACCAACATAAGAGAAATTACTTCGATAATACCGTCAAGGATAAGGAGGACCAAGTACAGTATTAATTTGGAAAAATATTAAAAACATGTAATAACTAATGATGATACACTGATGATGATACTAACGGGAATATAAGACTACCTACATGTATAATTCCATAACAATCGAAGGTAATGTAATAACTAAGAAAGATAATATTTTTATTGCAATCAAAGATCATTTTATCAATATTTCTGATTTCCTAAACAAATCCAAATTCAAAACAGAAAATTTCAAATCACCTGAAGAATAATTTAAATAGCAAAAATTTCAACGACATACCATTTATTGAAAAAATTCTTCCATTCCAAGTAAAACTACTTATTAGTAAACTTAATGTAAAAAATCATCAGGAAATAATGGAATGGCCTGTAAAAATGAATCTGATGAATGCATGTGTCTGTTGATTTAAATACAGTATTTGTTGTGTATATTTTGTAAATACTTGTGGATTTCTTTACCATGTTTAATTGAATGCCATATTGTAAATAAAACATGATTGTGTTACCTTAATGAAATATTTAGTGTTTATTATGATTATGATTATTATTATTATTATTATTATTATTATTATTATAATTATTATTATTATTATGAGCCAAGGATTATATTTAGTGATTTTCAACCTGCAAAAAAATTTAGTAGTGTCAAACCTACACGGTAACTGTGTCCGCCATGTTTGTTGAAATTGACAACCGATAAATTTAGTTGTCTTCAAAATGCTCAGTGAAACAGAGGCAAAGAATTTAGTTCTAGAATCAGATTTGGATGGTACAAATTCGTTTTAATATTTCACTAACCTGGCTAATTTGTATGCCATAGTTATGGATAGATCTTCTTATTTGCACTTAATGCTATTGACATTGGTTTTCGCGATATGTTTATATTCATAAATTGACATAATTCATATGTCCCCAATATTTGCACTGGTAACAGTTGACTTTATACGAATTTTATACTGGCTACCGGTTAGTTCTGGCTTCCATAACTTTATATGTCGCTTTTATTTTGACGTTGCGACAGTAAAGTTATGGGTCAACCTAGCTAAAGATACTTCAGCGAACAGGTTTTATAGTATTGCTAGACCTGTTCGCTGAAGCCAACCCCGTATCGAAAGTCAACCAGAACCGTGACATTTTTATGTCATGCTGTAATTCAATAAATTTGCGTGATCTGGACAAAAGCTATTTTAATACAGGTAGTTTGATATATTTGGGACCCTCCAGTCTATATTTTTCAGGGTTTTTTTTTACTAACAAATTGACACCGATAGTCGGCGTCTTCCCCTCGGTAAATAGCCAAGTTTTTTCCCCAAAAAAATTCTATTTTCCTTTAAACTGGATCAGATTTAATAATTACATGGTTTAAAATATTATTGTCTTCATTTTATGCAGGATAAACCACCAATTGTTGTCCAAAATAACCAAAAACATTGCAGGAAACTGCAAGTACTGTCTCAACAGGTCTCAACATGGAGGCAGCCATTTTTTTTTCTTGGCTATATCCCGTACTGAACGGTACTATTTCTGGAAATCAGTTGCTATCAAAATATTGTCATTTTCTTGGTTATTTTTAGTAAAGTAATATATTTTGTACTTCTTATTATGAAAATGACTTATATGGAGCCAAAGTGTGTCACAGATACACTATTATACCTATACTGTATTAACTTTCATATAAAAATAGAAGTATAAAAACCATTCACCACCATACATATTAAGAAAATATGTTATACTGCAAAGAATATTTTGCATGATGATAAAGTTTTTAAGGGGAAAAAAGATATAGTTGTAACTCTCTACTATGTAGTTAAGTATATAGTATAAATAACATCATAATAAAGTTTCCCCAAATTGACTTTTTTCGTATATTTTTTCCCCTCCCTACCAGCGTCCAGCGTCTTCCCCTTTTCCTAAAAAAAACCCCTGTTTTTGAACACAGAATGTTAGATTCATGATATATTGCCTCAAAGTTTATCAGCGGCTTCACATTTCATAAAATACGCCGCCATTGCTGCCCTAATTATCACGTGACCAGCGAGAATTTAGGTTCGGATACCTTTGCATGACACGTGACCCAAATGCTATTTTTAATTGAAAACATGGCTTTGCAATTATGAATAACGGTGTATTTATTCAATAACAGACATTGTACCAAAAACATGTTGGATTTATATTGTTTTGAGTGATGATTCATGAATTATTTGTTTGTTTTAATATAAAATCATACACTTACTAAAAATAGTGTACGGTCCGTTACTAAAAATAGATGCTAGAATTTCCAAAACATTAAGTCTCGCGAGATCTCATTTGAAAGCAGACTCCATATTGGTAAACATTCTCTACATATTTCTCTAAAAAATAGTTTGGTACACAATGTCATTGAAGTTTCATTTAAAAACAAAACATGAATTGGTTCAAAATTGATTTGTTTATCAAATGGTATTTTTATTTGACCCAAATTTGATTAACAAGGGTGATTTAAATAGTTTTTATGTACTGCGCACAAACTGTCAAATTCTGGTAGCCTTTGCAAATAGGGTTGACCCATAACTTTACTGTCGCAACGTCAAAATAAAAGCGACATATAAAGTTATGGAAGCCAGAACTTAGGGTCAACCTAGTCCTAATTATAAGACCGGTACTATGCGTAACCTAATTCATAATTATCATTCATTAATCTGATATTTTACATTTTTCATTTTCCATGTTACATTAGGTCTTAACAGATCTTTACAAAATCGTGTAGCAAAAAAAATGACATTAGACATCGATTTAGATCTAATGAATTTAAACAATTGAAACAGCGTGAATTTACATTAATTTTGACTTATTCATGAACAAAACTAAAAAATGAATACCTTTTAACAAAATAATTGAATTTTCATGTCCGAAAAGTCATGATTCAATCCTCTCATTTAATTTAATTCCTTGTACAGCCGATATACAAATGGCCGCCATACAGTGCGCGAAATCTTATTGGCTAATTCAAATGCAAGCGTTTAAATGAGTCAGAACTATCGAATGGAATATATTTTCAACGAAAAAATTGCCCATGCACCGCCAGTGTATTCAAATATATTTTTCCGTTCAAAAAATTGGAATCAATCTGTAAAACGCTTAACAGATACGCCGTGGTACATAAAAACCTATTAAAATCACCCTTATTAATCAAATTTGGCTCAAATAAAAATATCATTTTATCACATAAACCGCGGTGCAGAAGTGTTATAAAGCCATTTAATAAAAACGATATTACAGTTTACACTAGTGTAATAACATTGACGTGACTTCATTTGTGCTATATAGAAACATAGCGTTAAAACGGGCTAATTTTAGCGTTACACTATGGGCGCGTCATTGAAAAATTACTGATTTCAACAGTTTACTGTTCTTATTTTATATATGTGATAAATAGAATATTATATTCGTGTAGATTTAATACTAAATTTATTGAACTCGTTGAATAAAACAATATTATGCTCGCAAGAGGCTCGCATAATATGATTTTATTCAACTCGTTCAATAAATTTAGTATTAAACTACACTCATTCAATATCCTCTATATATAAACAAATCAATTTTGAATCAATTCATGTTTTGTTTTTAAATGAAACTTCAACCCAACTATTTTTTAGGGAAATATGTAGAGAATGTTTACCAATATGGAGTCTGCTTTCAAATGAAATCTCGCGGGACTTCAAGTTTTGGGAATTCTAGCATCTATTTTTAGTAACGGACCATACACTATTTTTAGTAAGTGTATGATTATTTATAAAAACAAACAAATAATTCATGAATCATCACTCAAACAATATAGATCCAACATGTTTTTGGTACAATGTCTGTTATTCGACTTATTGAATAAATACACCATTATCCATAATTGCAAAGCCATGTTTTCAATTTAAAATAGCATTTGGGTCACGGGTCACCAAATGTCATGCAAAGGTATCTGAACCTAAATTCTCGCTAGTCACATGATAATTAGGGCAGCAATGGCGGCGAATTTTATGAAATGTGAACCCGCTGATAAACTTTGAGGCATTATTTCATCAATCTAACGTTCTGTGTTCAAAAATATAGACTGAAGTGTCCCAAATATATCTAACTACCTGTATTAAAATAGCTTTTGTCCAGATCACCCAAATTTATTGAATTACAGCATGACATAAATATGTCACGGTCCTGGTTGACTTTCGATACGGGATTGGCTTCAGCGAACAGGTCTAGCAGTACTATAAAACCTGTTGGCTGAAGTATCTTTAGCTTAAAGCTACTGGTATAATGTTATAAATCGAAGGTACTATCTAACTGTTTATGGCAGTAACGATTAAGGCTCATCATATTTTGTTCTATATGTAAGCTTGAAGATTTCAATATCAGTCTGATAAAAAAATACAATTTTAAAAAGTTAATGATTTAATAAAGAATAGTTAATAGTTTTCCTTCTAGCAGCAATTGCTTCTGTTTTAACCATGCTAACAGTACAGACCAATATCAGCTGGAACATCTGTGCCATCTGATTTACACACATGACATGGTCAACATTGTTTCTTATAATTTCAGTCAGTAGACCTACATGTATTCACAATTTCGAAAACCTAGCTAAACGCCGATTTCCCGTACTTTCTGTACATAGCTCAGGGGAATTCACCAAATGGAGTATAATACAAAGGCTCTTTTTAATTGAAGTGAAATTATTAAACAGTTATTCCTTTGTAAGAAAATAATTGAAAATCATAGAATGAATAATTCCATGCAAAAATTAAAGTAAATACACAAGTTTACGCAGAAAATATCTTTATTTATTTATCATGGAAGATACCACAATGGCTGTTTTAATTTTATTGATTTTCATTATACATTTTTTTTTTATATTTGCAATAGATTCTAAAAGAAAATTGATAATTTTCAAGCACATCAAGTTTTTTCACAGTTAAATAATGATAGAAAAATAGAAATATCATGTAATAGTGTTATGTACTGTATTTGGTGTAATTGAGCTAAATTGGTAACATACTGGAAAACAGTGTTAAGCTAGGTTTTTCGAAAAAGTCAGTAATCATATTTTTTAAACCTTCCCTAAGAATGATGAATGGACAAGTCCAGATTAAAAGACGGACAACGCCATTTAAGATGGTTACCATGATGATAATGGCTAAAATAATCCTTTTTAATTCAATAAACTTTAAAAACAAAGATCAAGTAATGTATGAAACAGCTTTATCAAATTATCTCATTTAGACAGGATATTTGATAGGTTAACCAAACATTTTTCATAGATAAATTATACATCATTAAGTTACCAATCAATGTACATGTATCGTATTTAGACATAAAGTACATTTGTCATCTTTGTAATGAATTTCTTAGATTTATCTTCATTTCAATTTCAGGAAATCAAAACTCCTTAAACAGAAAGCTTGCCAGAGCACCAAAGTCTTTAAGACAGGTATATCTTATGTTGTGCATAATATTTATCATTTGAGCCGCGTCATGACAAAACCAACATAGTGCGTTTGCGACCAGCATGGATCCAGACCAGCCTGCGCAGTCTGATCAGGATCCATGCTGTTCGCTATCAGTTTCTCTACTTGTAATAGAGTTGCTAAGCGAACAGCATGGATCCTGATCAGACTGCGCAGATGCGCAGGCTGTTCTGGATCCATGCTGGTCGCAAACGCACTATGTTGGTTTTGTCGTGACGCGGCTAATTTTATCCTGGTGGATCACACTGTACATATGACAGGGTTTTGAAGTAATAAGCTATTTTTGTAAAGCATTTATTGCTTTGTCATTATTTAACCCTCAGTCTCATTAAAGTAAGATCATCATTTTCACCCTTCAAAGGGAAGAGTAGTGGAGTATCAGGATATGATTTTAGTGATATTGATTGACATTGATTTAACCCTTATCTTATTGGAACTGAAATTGATTTAATTTAGCATATGCCACAATTGTGTCCAGTTCAGCCTGTACATTCTGTATATTAAATATTTAAAATTATCATCTTTGTATCTCCGTGACATTTGATCTCGGGCATTAAATCTAATGGTCATTTTTTCCCTCAGTCTGACACTGCTGTTTTTCAAATATCGTTGAATCAGAAGTTGGTCATTTGCAAAGAAATTGATAATTACTTGTTAGTTATCCAGGAAACTATTTGGATAAACTGCCGTGATATGACAAAAAAATGTGTTAATAATGAATCTGTGTTAAAACCAAAAAAAAAAACCAGGAGTATGACTATAATGTTCAAGGCTATTTGTTTGGTCCATGTCAGGTGCATTATAACTAAATACCATAATGTCTGGTTCATACTAAAATACCAATATTAGATCATTAGAATCTTCCAGTCGTAATGATCAGGTTAAAGGGACTGTTCTAGAATGCTCAGTCTTGTGTCAGTGTCATGAGACTATAGGTTGTATTATTGTCAGCTGGCTTAGCTCAATAAAGACAGTATCAGATAGGTAATTCAGGGGTCGTTGGTTTGATCCTGGGGTGTGGCGAAGTAACTCTGACAGTTGTATTCAGATATTGAGTCTAATGACAATTTGCCTCTTAGTGCCGATCCTAAAATCACGCGAGATTTGTAGACTTGTCGCTTGTGAAGATATTGGTTATTACAGTACTTGTAAGTTGTCAAGGAAAGTGTGTAAGATGGATCGGCCATCAAGGTATGGCAAAAACAAATTAGGATAAAAAAAACTAACAAATTTATTGTATTATCATGTAAATGTAACAAATTTGGAGGTTAATTCAATGAAATAGTTCTATAAAGTTGGCATATTGTACACTGGTACACCACTTCCTAGTGCAAAAAGTTTGTTTATTAAGACAATGAAAACTCTAGGAGTGTCACGTTTATCCGTTTAAACGGCTTCGGTCGGTTTTTAGCCAAAAAAAAACGGTTAGAAAATTAAGTACCGGAAACCAATGTTAGTATAAGATTAACAAATGAAGAAATTTTGGATTAGTTTTTAACATTGCTTTTGTTTATTTATGATAAGAATTATGACATTTTTTTTTGTATTTTAGTTAATTTATTTTCTGATTGCACATGATATCTTATCGTGTATGGTACGATCCTAACGGACAAGGTACTCCATAATCAAATCAATATGCTTTGTAATTCTTGTCAAGTATAACAAAATACAAACAAAATGTGCCTTCTCATCATAAAAACAAAGTTGACGTTTAAAATCTAAAAATTCTTTTAACACATTTTATAATTGGTTATGAAGTCGCTGTTTAATCGATTAGCAATTTTGTTACCGTAACATCCCTCGAGAATAAAAACAAGCCCATTAACTCTCCCTTAATTTTCAAACTAATAAATGTTGTTTAAAAAAAATCCAAATTCTTATATAAACAAAAAATTTCATTCTAAAATCTTACAGATATTTTAATTTATATATAAAATATATTTTAGCTCAACTAAGCACAAAGTGCTCTTAAAGGTAAGTTTTTTGTGATGGCAATGCTTCTGTACACAATTTCTCCAAACACAGTGAGTGTATTAAGTACAATGTATAGTGGATTTGTCACTTAGTTTATTTAGACATGCATTGGAAAACACAATTAAATTTGAAAAGCTTCAATACTATTTTTTGTAGCTTTAGTGCTCGACCATCATTACCCTCTTGTTTTGTATTATACAGGGATTACTAAAGGACAATCCTGGCAGCGATGAAGGTCAGACTTCAGCAGCTATTGAGATACAAAGATCATGGAGAGGGTACCAGGGCAGGTCAGGAATATTCATTCTTACACAATTCTTGCGCATTGAATCATTGATAATGAGAATGTTTAAACCTTTGTTAGCAAGAATCAAATGTCTGTGTTTCATATGATCTTCAGGGAAAAAAAGATCTTTGTAATAACAAAGTCAAACTTTTCAGTGTGTAAGCTGTATATATAGCAGTTCTCTCATAAAGACATGTGCAGTGGCTGTAATGTGCTCTGGTAAATATAATGTGGCTTATACTGCCATGATCCGGAATGATAACTACCAACACCACCACCACCAAAAGACACATGTTTCTTAGCAAAACATGTTAGATGAAAAAAATGTATAAACATGTAGTTTATCAATGACTTGATGATCATCGAGACTGCTTTTTTTTGCACATATTGCTTATCTTATAAATTCTTATTGAAAATTATCAGTGAGATACACGTTGTATTTCACTGTTTGAAACTTAGTAAAATAAAGAATATTTTGTTCCTACTTTTCCTATACAGTGATGCAAAGATATAATAAAAGAAGAACCATAACAACAACAACAACAACAACAACATATTTATTTGATAATAAGGCCACCGGCCCATAATATACAAAGCAACATGGATAAACATTTTACGTCCCTCTAATTAATATCGTCAGCTTTACAAAGAATATGGTGTATATAAATACATATATTCCGTATTGTTGTATCACAACTCGAGTTCATTAATGAGTAGAAATCATTTAAATTTGTTCTTCCATCATACCAATTTAGTAAGTATAGTTGGCGTACTTTATTATATTTATAGCAATGGAAAAAAGCATGAAATTCACAATCTATAATTGAGATATTTCTATTATTTAAACAATATGTACAAAAGCGTTGTTCTCTTGGTATATTTAAATGTCTGCCGATTTTCTATTTTAAGTTTGTGGTTAGAACACCTAAACTTAGAAAAAGATTTTTTATAAATAAATGGTAAGTCCAATATTAAGTATCCTTTCTACATTTAAAAGTGATTTAAATTTCTATGAATGAAAGCATCGACTGGAAGTATTAATATCATTATGCCATTTTGAGTGTAGCAATCAACCAGTCTCTGTTTAAACAAATGGATAAACATGTCAGGATTACCTATTTCTTGCGAAATCCAGGCAAACCCAAAACCATACTCAAATAATAAATTTTTTATCTTAGTAGCCCAATTATATCTCCCACTATCATCATGATTTTTCAACATAAGATAACATTGTCGCGGATATCTCGATTGTTGCATAGTCAATAACTTGCACCAATATTTTATACAGTTAGTCATATAAAATACACATAATGGTAACCTGCCACATTCTCCTAGTGCCATTGCGTTATTTTGTAGTTCTATTAACATTAAGGTACCTTTTACAAAAATCATTATGAACAGTTTCAATAGTATTTACATAACAATAACCCCATACTTGCGAGGCATAACATAATATTGGTTTCACCAAAGCATCAAATAATTTAAAGTATTCTTTGACTGGAAAATATCCAAATGACTTTTGATACTGTTTTGATGGCTAGAATAGATTTCTTGGCTTGAATAGACAATTTATTGTGGGTTGATGACCAAGATATAGTAGGTGAAGATAAACACCCATATATTTATAAATTGATACTACATTAACAGGAGATCCACGATAGAGCCAAGATTCATAATTTCTAAGACACCTCCATTACGGAATACCATAATCTCTGTTTTATTTAAATTCAATTTCCATACCCGTATCTTGACAAAATACGTCTATTATATTAATTGTTGCTGTAATTTGACAGCGTTTTCTGCGCAATTAGGCAATGTCGTCCGCAAACATAAGACAGTTAATGTCATGTATGTCGTTAGTTATAAAAATCCCTGTTCCACACGAGAGACGTAGTAACTCTGCTAATTTCATTAATAAAAAGTATGAATATAGTTGTGCTGCTTACGTCTCCCTGTTTTGTTCCGACATTACAGGGGAAATAATCAGTAGATAAATAACAGCAATTGTTATCATTTAAATTTGGTCTATTTTTAGCATGATTACAGTCGAGTTTTACACACGATAATAGATCGGTATACATAGTCTTGAGCACGCGTAAAAAATTGCCGCGGAGACCTCTACGATGTAATATTTCAAAAAGCTTCGCGTGGTTTAATTTGTCGAATGCTTTCTTAAAATCAACCCGTGTCGGAAGCCGGCTTGTGACTCGTCAATTTTATTATTATTTTCGGCCCAATTATAAAGTCGAGTATTGATAAGTCTAGAAAATACTTTATACAGAGCATTCGTTACAGAAATCCCTCTATAGTTACTAGGGTCATTAATCGATCCTCTTTTATGGATTGCCGTAACCACGCTTTTACCCCAAATTTTAGGAAAGACGCCCGTGTTAAGTATTCTGTTAAACAACGCTTCAATAACGTTAATACTGTCATTTAATGTATATTTATAAAACTCTTGATGGTATGCCATCAGGTCCGGGACTTTTGCCATTAGACAAATTATTATGGCCGATTCGATTTCAGCCCGAGTAAATGGTTGATCTAGCTCAACACACTGTTCATTTATTTATTTCAGTCAAATTATCGTGTTAAGTGATATGGCGGAATCATTGAACAAAAGATCTTTAAAATACGCATACCATTCATTGGCTGAAATATTAACAACACTGTCTTTTTCGGAGACGTGAACGCTTAATAGTGACACATATCCTTCGGATTATTACTAACATTAATGAGTTTTTGTCTTTTGGTCGCGCTGAAAAAGTAGCTGTTTTCTACGACAATACGCCTTAAACTTATAAACGTTTTTTACCTTATATACTCTTAAATCATGTATTAAGTTTGATGTTCTAAACCTTACGTAGCGCGTTATATTTCTCGCGTTTATATAAATCGCAGTTCCCACCCCACCATTCGGGCTGTGACTGTTTGTATCTAAAGGATCTTATTCGCATATTAGATCCTGCCTCTTTGTAAACTGCTGTCAATATAGACAATGCGCTGTCAATATTAGTCATTATCTCGGACAAAATTCTACCTTGTTTCTGACGTAACAGACTACCAAACTGACTTAAAAAATTAGCTCTATGGACTTCATTCCAACGAAATTTTTGCGTGTTCAATTGTACACGTTACATCATTATCATTAGAAACGGCAATTAATTACCAAGTCCTTGTATGGTAACGACAGAGAACAATGATATAGGGGAGATGATCAGATACATTCATTTTCTAAAACTTTTGAAATTTACAATATATTCAAATAAATTTTGAACTTGCTATTATATAGTCGACAACGCTGACACCCTCATTTGCGTAGCATGTATACTCCCCCCTAATGTGTCATTTGGATATCTCCCGTTTAAAATGTGAATATCATACAAACAACATAAATTAAGCAAAGATTTTCCAAAAAATTATTACAAACGCCATCTTTGTTGTTACGAGGTAAACAAAATGTACTACCGTTATAATCAGAGTCACCAAAATATATACGTTAAAGTATCATCATAAATAAAATCAGGTAAATTTTTTGTTCTAGCATTTGTATCTCCAGCAAAAAGAATATATGAATTAGGGAAGTTTAATTTAATCATTTCAATATCACTCTGAATTTGAATAATTCCATCATTTTCTTCTAAATTATCATAAAACCGAAGATCCCTCCGGTGAAACATAGGCAAAATAAAAACAATATCTTCTACTGTAAACAACTGAGAAACTTAAGTAACAGCACTACACAATCTGTCATGTCATAAAAATACGTTTCAATCAAATGTAAACATTTTTAAACTAGAGTTTATAAATACACTAACCCCTCCACTATTTCTAATATGAGCATTATTATATGGTCTTACACAATTCATAATGTATATAACCCTCTAAAAAACTGTCAAACTCTCCTTTAAATTTTGACCATGTCTCATTTAAAGCATAAAATATCAAATGTTTTAAGAAACTCTTTGGTTAAAGTACAATTATCTAAGCGGTTTAAACCACAAATGTTCCATGACAGTATATTAAAGTCAAATAATGGGCTTTGGCCACTTTCCTAGCTAAATTGGTCTACTTCGGATCTTTCCGTATCCATCCGGCTTTGCTGCGATTGGTTATTTATAAAAGTTTCGTTCTGTTCAGCTAACACAGACGGTCGTCTGCTATCTTGCGATTGTCGTCTGCCTATGTACACTATGGATTGTGTATTGTCACTATATTTTTATACACCCCCATCATTTATAATGAGTTTATCATACCGCACACTTGAGTAGTTTCCATGTTGACGCTCTTCGATCATTCTTTCCCCGAGAATTTTTCGGTGTCTGCGTACGCGATCCGTGTAGTCATACTGAATGTAAACATTACTATCACGCTGCAAATTGCTTTTGGCCAATTGCATAAATAGTAGTGCAATCCACAAAATTACAAAAAGTCAGCAATATCGTTGGTGTAGACGAATTTGACGATTTCACTCTCCGTAATCATCAATCTGAACAGTACTGGCATTCTCACATTTAAGGTTATTTTGCAAGAATTCCCTGGCTTTTTGCTCTGTAACAGAACGTGATTCACGCATTTGACCTGAGATACCTTGAATTCTTAAATTTTTTCGTTTCATGTTGCCATCTAGGCGATCAACATTAAGTTTGAAGGTCTGATATTTGCATTTTTAATTGTGAGTTTTCTCTTCTAAGGGATTCATTATCAGCCCTCAATTCACGCACTGTGTCTGAGATGGTGTCAATTTTCGAATGTACCTGTTTCAAATCTGTATAATTCTGTCATTGTTTTTATTCATATCTGATTTCATAGTCATTAAAAACATCATAAATATATCATCATTTACTGACCTGTAGCCGCTTTCGTTATTGCTTGATAATGGGCTACTAACAACGTTAGCATATGAGGAGATTGTCCGCTGTCGTGTTGTAACACCTTCCGTGTTCTTACCGGTTGGCGGTCCGCGTGTCTGGTCACTGCTGATGCCGACGACGACCCTAGTGGGGCCGACTGTGATAGATTTAGCGCTGATTGCATATGAGACTGTCGCCGACTCTCATTTCGCTGGGTTTTTGGAGGGCCGGGATTCTCCTCTACGTCACCACAAACGACCAAAAGTACGAGCAAACACGTGCACAAACGAAATGTTAATCTAAAACCGTCCAATAGAGGTTTTAAATCCTTGAAATTTACATCCAACCTTGAACTTTTGTGAAAAACACACCTATACGTAACCTCCAAGTGCTGATATCTATCCCCATTTTACTAATAACTAAGAAATTAATCACTACCAAAAATGTACACCATGTTATACCAAGGGACGTAACTCTCACATAAAAAGATTTACTTTATTTATTAACATCACTAATATAAAATTCCTTTGAAGTTGCCCAATAATGGAGAAAAAAAACTACAGAATGCTGCAAATATTGTTTGTTTTTCAGTAAATATTAAGCATATATCCTTAAGAAATGATTACTTTTTATAGGCTTGTTTGAAAAACAGATAGTATTATAGTTTCCCTGACCTGGTGGGCCGGCGGCATCTAATTTTTTGTCCAGAGCAAATCTCCTACAGGCACAGAGGATTTTAATAAAACTTCATAGAAATGTCCACCACTTTTAGAAGCTGGGTTGGGTACATGAACCAGGTCTCTAGGTCAAAGGTCAAGGTCACTCATGTCTGCTTGTTTGCTGTGCAGATATATATATATTCCATATGCACTAAAGCCAAATAAAAATATCAAAATCAAACTATAGCAGCATTGATATAGATCTTAGAATAATGTTTTTTATATTTTAGATCAAACTTATTCAGCTTAGTTCAAGCTGACGTCAGTAAGACAGCTGTTTACAGTGGTAGTAAACATGCAGTAATGAGACAAGATGATTTCAAAGGTTATACAGGGGTAAGTACAAACTTGTCAAACTCTCTGAACTCAAGAAGCATTTACCCTTACTCACTTACCTATCTTAAATGAGCTTGTCTACCTTTCAATCTGGACAAAACTATATATATATATATATATCAGTTTTAGGAAAAATTATTTCATTGAGCTTCTGTTAAGATTAAGTCATTCATTCATTTTCTCATTCATAAATTTTATTCATGTACATGTATTATTCATTTACGAATCAAAGCTCATTCATTTGTTCATTCATTTGTTTACTCATAAATGCTTATTCATTTACTCCTTCATTAATACAAGCTCATACATTCATTCATTCATGTATCAGAGATCTTACAGTGGTCAGATATGACATTATAAAACTTTCTTTCATCAGCTGCTGGTACAAACCAGAATATCTGGCTAGGGAAAAGAAAGGCTATGTCTTTGGTCTGTGAAGGTGAAGGCCCTCAGTGCTGTGTACTAATTGTCTTAAATGGCTCATAAAACATATTACATAAAACTTAATTTTTCATGTAACACTTATAACTTTTTTTTGAGCATTCTCATGCTTAGCAGTACAATATATGATATACATCGGTATGCTAATACATGTACATGTATATTTATAGAGTGGCAAGGAGAAAAGACCAGCTCGCCAGAGACTTGAGGAATACTATAAAGACTACATACAGGGATTGATGTTAACTGACAGCAGACCAAGTATGCTACCTAGGTATGAGATTCTTTTCCTATCTGTGGTTTAACAGTAGAGGTTTTATGCTGTATTTTTTCTCATTTGGGTTATAAAGTACTTGTAAAGAGAGTGTTTGTAAAAAAATAATCTAGTGTCTGTTATTTGCAATAGTTTTTTTCAATTATGTTTTATGAATTTTAGATCATTCAAATCCTACATGCTTTTAATTTAGGTTTTTACAACATTATTAGTTTCTTTTTAAGTAGCAAGTTTTAAAGAGCAGAACAGATATGTTTGTTTCTAATTTCTGATGGATCTAAACTCTGTCTCTAGTTGCAGTACTTGTTACATGTTAAGACGGGAAAAAAATGTTTTTAGCTCGACTATTCCACAAATAAGGAGAGCTATTGTACTCACCCTTGCATTGGCATCCTACTTAGGTTAAGTTTTTGCGTGCAAGTTTGTATCTCCAAAACTACTGAAAGGAATTGGTTGAACACTTCATTGGGAGTACAATAGTTGGTCACTATCTAAGTTCTTTAACTCCAACACGGATTTTGACAAAATTATCACCCTTTTGGAACTTAGAAAATAATCCAGGCTCTTGTTTAACTATCAGTCACTGACAATAGTATGCTGTCCTACCTATATCTAGTGTTGAAAGAAAGTATTGGATGGTTTCTTTTCATGAAGAGAAAAAAAGGAAATCTTACCAACCAATTTACTTCAATTTCATTCTGTTGTTATATCTTTGAAACAAGTTCTGTTTGTTGCATTTTATGCCTGTGAAGGGGTAGAGTTGGTTTTAAGTCACATTTCTATTGTTTACCATGCAAGGTTTTAACTTTTTCTTTTTGAGATAGACCCAGGGTCCCATTTTCAACATTTCATGCATTGGTGCAGTCAATTGTGCAACACTGGACAACTATAAGAATAGATAATATTTATATTCCATTTATAATTTAAATGATTTTAATGCAACATGTACATGTATATTTTTAGCTCACCTGTCACAAAGTGACAGGGTGAGCTTTTGTGATCGCTTTTCGTCCAGCGTCCGTCCGTAAATTTTTACTTTAAATGACATCTCCTCATAAACCACTAAGCCAATTTCATCCAAACTTCACAGGAATGTTCCTTTGGTGGTCACCTTTAAAAATTGTTCAAAGAATTTAATTCCATGCAGAACTCTGGTTGCCATGGCAACCAAAAGAAAAAACTTTAAATATCTTCTTTTAAAAAACCCAATGAGCTAGAGCTTAGATATTTGGCATGAAACATCTTCTAGTGAGTGTCTACTAAGTTTGTTCAAAAAAAAGCCCTGGGGTCAAAATTGGCCCCGCCCCAGAGGGTCATTGATTTTCCCTATATGCATATAGTAAAAACTTAAAAAATCTTCTTTTAAAGAACCCATAGAGCTAGAGCTAAGATATTTAGCATGAAACATCTTCTAATGGGTGTCTACCAAGTTTGTTCAAATAAAAGCCCTGAAGTCAAAATTGGCCCCGCCCCAGGGGGTCATTGATTTTCCCAATATGCATATAGTAAAAACTTAAAAAATCTTCTTTTAAAGAACCCAAAGAGCTAGAGCTAAGATATTTAGCATGAAACATGTTCTAATGTGTGTCTACAAAGTTTGTTCAAATAAAAGCTCTGGGGTCAAAATTGGCCCCGCCCCGGGGGTCATTGATTTTCCTTATATGTGTATAGCAAAAACTTAAAAAATCTTCTTTGAAAAAACCCAAATAGCTAGAGTTTAGATATTAAGCATGAAACATCTTCTAGTGAGTGTCTACCAAGTTTGAACAAATAAAAGCCCTGGGGTTAAAATTGGCCCCGCCCCAGGGGGTCATTGATTTTCCCTATATGCATATAGTAAAAACTTAAAAAATCTTCTTTTAAAGAACCCAAAGAGCTAGAGCTAAGAAATTTAGCATGAAACATGTTCTAATGGGTGTCTACAAAGTTTGTTCAAATAAAAGCCCTGGGGTCAAAATTGGCCCCGCCCCTGGGGTCATTGATTTTCCTTATATGTGTATGGCAAAAACTTAAAAATCTTCTTTGACAAAACCCGAATAGCTAGAGTTTAGATATTAAGAATGAAACATCTTCTAGTAAGTGTCTACAAAGTTTGTTCAAATAAAAGCCCTGAGGTTAAAACTGGCCCCGCCCCAGAGGTGTCATTGTTTTTAACTATATGTGTATAGTAAAAACTTAAAAAATCTTCTTTTAAAAAACCCAATGAGCTAGAGGTTAGATTTTAAGCAGGAAACATCTTTTTGTTGGTGTCTACCAAGTTTGTCCAAATAAAAGCCCTTGGGTTTAAATTGGCCCTGCCAAAGGGGGGGGGGGCGGAGGTCATTGTTTTTCATTATGTGTGTGTAGTAAAAACTTAACATCATGAAACATCTTCTAATGGGTGTCTTCAAAGTTTGCTCAAATAAAAGCCCTGGGGTTTAAACTGGCCCGGCTCCAGGGGTCTATATACAGGTGAGCGACCTCAGGGCCATCATGGCCCTCTTGTTTAATTTTAGCTTTGATGATTTTTGTGCAACATATATACAAGATTGGTGGCGGGAACATTTATCACGTCATCCCCCAAGTCATCCCGCACGACGGCCAATAGTTTTAAAGCAGACCCCTGTACAGCCAGTAATTCCCAAGAGACCTATGAGAATACTAAATGTACAGGAAGCTGCAGCCATGATACAGAAAGCCTGGAGGAGACATATTGTAAGTAAAGTATCAGATATTGAAAATTCCACTTTTCCGCTCATAATTATGAGTAGAATTTAAAAGTATTCCATGAAGGCCAAGTAAAAAAGTGTTGCCTGCACATTGGTTATAGAAGCTATTTGTCCTACTGAACATGTGACTTTGAAAATATTTTTTGATGCCTGTGTACTGTGTTCTGTGATGATATCAAGGTTTTGTTTGTAAACAAACAATAGTTAAAGAGAATTGGTCTATAATGGTGAAGGTCTATAGAATACAATAAATAATTATGTAAATAGTATTTTTTATCAGACATAACAAACCATGGAGGAGTATATAATGTATTTATGTTGTTGACGTGTGAGATATACATGATTTGATGATTACATGATTACATATATTTATATACATTGTAGCAGGTAATAAAATGTTCTAGAACATTTAATTATTATATATCATAATTATAAATGTTCACCCTTAATAACTTTATCATTTTAGACCAATCCACTTTAAACTGTAAAACATATTTATGACAAATAAACATAATAAGTACCTTAATTCAGTTAACATTTTGGTTTAAAAACTTAATTAACTGTTTAATGTTTATAATGATTTTATGGTTCCTTTGTGAAGACATAACTTGTTAGTTATAATAAATCATTCATTAAGTGATGATTTTAAATGTTCAGAATAATTATCTTTGGTATGTATTATTGTTTTTGTCTATTAAATAAACTAAAGGTTTTGAGCATAAAAACTGCCCTAGTATAATTTTCACTTGATAAAAACCCTCCTTTGAGCATGAAAAACATCCTTTGAGATGGTGAGGGGGGGAGGGGCGGTAAATTCCCCCATAGAATTGGGATTCTAGAATACTCACTAAGATAATTTACATATTTCAGGATATACAAGTGTATAGGTATTACAGAGATCTAATCAACTTTAAGACAAGAGGTAATCCATCACTTATGTTAAGATGTATAAATCCACAGGAAGCTAAAATGTTAGACCCTGCTGCTGGAATACACATCAAGTTCAGACTTGCTGGGGTATGTACTAATATATTATTGTATCAGTTGGTTTTGTTTCATATTATATTGTCAAAATTCATTCAGCACTTTGTCAGAAGAATTATTTTCATTACCCGCCTCTTATTATGCGGGACTATGTATCGGTGGCACATTCCAGTCCCAGATGTAGCTGGATCAATAACTAACAAATGCTGTCTGTAAGGTTTAATGGGGATGTTAGCCGTGACTGGGTGATGATCCCTAGGGATTTTGAACTTGGGTAAAGATCAAAGTCATTGTGATTTTCACAACAACAAATGGCCAACAAACCTGATTTGATTTGGTTATTGGACTAATTGGTTCACCGTTGCCATGAGGAAAAAAATATTATTTGCAAAAATCTCTTCTTACATTACTCTTCTTTGATAAATGTATATGACTTTCAAAATGAATGAACTATTAGGACAAGTTTATTTGAATATGTGCAAGAAATATCAATATACTTATTTTTACTTACACAGGATAGGTTCCCACCAAATATCTATTATAAAATATACACACACAGACCTATACAGGACATGTGTGCTAATAGTCCAAAAGATTACACACAACCATATGTGAAGTTAAAAATGGCAAAAGATCAGAATAATAGGGGGCGCTTTGAAGTCAATAAACAAGGTAAGATTATTGTATTTTTGGCCTTGTTTAGTTTGAGACCACACTAGCCAGATTTAAACATTTGATCCTTGATATTTTAATTTGATTTTTATTGCAAATTCAAGGGCAATAACTCTGAGAGGATATATTTCTCTTGAAATATTTTTTTTAAGAACGTGTTTAAAAAGTAAAAATTTAGATTAATTCTATAGAATATTTTAATTCTTTGTGAAAGCTGTAGCAAATGCCCTAAACTAAAGCTTGCAATGAGCAAGTATGAAGTCATTATTAGGTATTAAGAGATTCTGACGCCCACATTTCAGTGGCTCAACAAATTGTTTCTATTTTCTTGTTCTTTCCATATTTTATGTGTTTTCTTATGAAATAATCATTAAACATTTCATTGGTACTCATATCTGATACAAGAATCATTTCCTCATCCTGCACGCATGCGATTTAACATTTGTTTTTCGTACTCATAATTTTATGTACAGATTTTAGACAATTACTCATAATTTATGTACGGATTTTAGACAAGGCTGGTTGGTATCAGCGGATGGACAACAATGGTTGGAGATTGGTGTCTGATAGACTTATACATCATATAATGTCAGATCCTGTTACCTGGGAAACGTCCAGGAAGAAATATGAGTATCACCATGACAAGGTGAGATTGATATAACACATTGACATTTAAAATAAAAATTGATATTGAATTATTCAAAATAAGAAAAATAAGGATATAGATGCATGTAGCTGTGCCAGAAATAGGTATTGTTTTAGAAATTTGGTACAGTAAAATTAATGGATAGATCATTACTCTGACCTTATACTTGAATAACAAAAGATTTAACCACAGACATTGGCATGTGTTCTTTTGTTAACAAGTATGTTGTGGTGAAAATTCTATTTTAACCCACTAATCTGATAATTTGAATAAGAAAGAAAGATATGTAGGGATCTATGTATGTCTCAGAATATGTCAACTTTTGATATCTCAGAGAAAAAAAGAGCAAAAAGTAATGAAAAAAGGAGTGTGTCTATTTACTTCAAAAGGATAAAAAGGATGTCCTAAATTTTTGTTTTAAAGAAAAAGAATTGGGGAAGGTCTTATTTAAGAATTTTCTTGGTTCAAACTCAAAACTGTAGAACTTGCAGCATAAGACCTCCTGAAAAAAAAATCAGGAAAAGCTAGAGTAAATTTTATTTAAAAGATTCTTGAAAATTTATCTTGTTATCATTTGATACTATATTTTTATAAGTTTTTGATACTATTTTTAGCTCGACTTTTCTATGAAAAGGGGAGCTATCCTACTCGCCCCGGCGTCGGCGTCGGCGTCACACCTTGGTTAAGTTTTTCGTACCACCCCACTTTATTTCAGAAGTATTACAAGTATGGCTTTGAAACTTACCATACTTGTTCACCATCATAACCTCCATCTACAGACAAGAGTACATAACTCTGTCAAGGTTTTTGACAGAATTATGGCCCTTTTTTGACTTAGAAAGTGTATTGAGCTTGGTTAAGTTTTTTGTACCACCTCACTTTATTTCAAAACCATTGGAGGTATTGCTTTGAAACTGACCATACTTGTTTACCATCACGACCTTTCATCAACAGACAAGAGGACATAACTTCTGTCAAGGTTTTTGACAGAATTATGCCCCTTTTTGACTTAGAAAATACATTGAATATGGGTAAAATCCACTTATTGCCTTAACCCTTTGAGATATTTGCTTTGAAACTTTTAATGCTATTTCACATCATTACCCCCATCTGTACGCAAGAGAAGGTAACTCTGTCAGGGATTTGTTTAAAAATTAAGGCCTTTTATCGACTTAGAATCTTGGTTAAGTTTTTTGTACCAGTCAACTTTTTGACTGAACTGGTTGAGATATTAAATTGAAAGTTGGAATACTTGTTTTTACCATCATGGTCCCAAACATGGGCAGGAGAAGGTAATTCTGTTAAGGATTTTATTTGAATTATGGCCCTTTTTGACTTAGAAACTCAGTTAAAATTTTCATTCTTGTCCACTTGTTGACCTAACCATTTGAGATATTACTTTGGAAGTTGGAGTTCTTATGTGCCATCATGAGACCTATCTGTAAGCAAGAGAAGATAACTCTGTGAAAATGTTTCTTGATTTGTACTTAGAAATTCCTAGTTAAAGTCTTGTGTGCCCTTAACTGTCAAAGTTTTGTTTTATAGGCAAGCACTAAAAAAGTCGAGCGCGCTGTCCTTCTGACAGCTCTTGTTTATTAGTTTTGTGTCAATTGAGTTAGTACTTTTTCAGGATATAAGATTTGAGTATGTGTAAAGTAAGTTACTGTTAATGTAAATGTTTGTAAAGAATGTTGTAGTCTAGAAAAGCATGATATTCATATAAGTACATTGTATATATTATGTACTGTTAATGAAGAATGGGGGCAAAGGATGCATGAAGAGTGAGCTTTTATATAAACATATACATACAATAATAATTGAATGCTTGGCTGAATGTCAAAGATTTGAACACACAGAGAGAAAGTTTAATTGATTTTTATTCTTTAAAAAAATGCAAAATCCATTTAAGCATTTATTTGTTTTTAATATTTTATTAATCTTGATCAAAAATTTGTATATTTTATATTTATACATATATTTTGTGTTATCCTTGAGAAGAGTGGAACAAATCCAGTTAAGAATGTTAACATAAATGTGGATTTGCCAATCTTGATTTATAAATGTGGTAAATCAAGGGAGGCAATCCACAATCAGCCAGATTATAATGAAATGAAGAAGGGGAGGCAGTCCTGCCAGATTGCTGGTTTTTTAATGTGTAAACTGTAAAGGGAGGCAATCCAGCAAGATTTATGAAATGTATAAAGGGAGGCAATCCAATAGGATAATTGAGATTTATTGGATCTACAGAGGCTAAACATCACTATAAAAATTCTCTTTTATTTTTTTAGGCTGAAATGTTACAGCACACACATTAACTCTCTCTGCATGATCTGAAACTATTTGAATATAGTATATAAACTAACAAGTATTATAAAACAGTCATGCTTTATATATTGTTAACAGCTGATTCACTGTAAATATGTAAAACTATGAGCACTGGATGTTTAATTTTAAGGTGAATTTATTTTGGAATGTTATGTTAACCAAGTATCTCCCAGCACCTCAATCATGGCAGTGACTTTCATTTCAAAGGTTTGAAAGATGGCCTCAGCCTACTGATTGTGCATTTAGGTTACTTCAGACAACTTCTTAGAAACCATTGTTGTTTTTTTTGTTTCTTTATTAAGTTATATTGTTTGCGAGAATTTTGACAATTAAAATTGTTTATAGCCATGTTTTTGAAACCTGTTCTTTTGGCAGTAAATTTGACAAAAGTTATAACTTTTGGTCCTGCAGAAAGAGAAAACAGGAATAAACAATAGCCTTCAATTATGATGTATTGTCAATATTTTAGAATTACTAGTGGTGATTATAACAAACCCTGTAGCCACCAGTATAGATCCAGGGCAGTCTGAACCTTAAATGCTCACAAAATGTGACATGATAGTTGTTAACTGGTTTATACAGAATTTAATGATTAGTTTGATTATTTGGGGAGCTATAAGTTTATTATTATTTATATACACTTCTGGATCCATTCCTGGATCCAACCAGTACGGAGCAATAAGGGTAAAGTTTCTTGCTCAAGGAAACAACAACTTGCCTCTGATGGGGTTTGAACCCATGCAGATAACACTCATTAGATTTACTAGTCTGACGACTGTTTACCCCTGGGCAATGCTGCCACTTAAATAGTAGATAGTTGTTTATTGATTAATCTTATGGTTATTAATACATAGATGTCATTTAAATGAAAAGAAAATGACATTTTTTTCAGTTGTTTATAACTACAGGGAGAGAGCGGCAGCTATTTGAATTTAAAATTGAGTATATTATGACTTTACCTGAGGTCCTGCATATTTTATTCTAGTTGGCAGTTACATTCTCTTGTTTAAAGCTTATTGTTCAGATACCTAAACAATGACAATTTTTTATTTAGCTACAAAGAAAACAAGATGTGGAAAAGAGAAAAAAGAAGAAGAAAATAGACTGGATGAAGAAAATGTAAGTTTTACTTGAATTGCTTTGAACATGTCTTTGAACATGAATAACAGGGGTGTACTATTTAAGATGGGTGATTATTTTTCACTTTATGTGTATGAAATATATAAAACCTATATACTATAGAAAAAAATAAACAAAGTTAGGGATGAAAAGTCAGTAAATGTTTAGAATTTACCTAAATATGAGGAATTTATCTGTCCGAAATGAAAGATGATTTCATTTAATTTATTTAGCCAGGTACAGGTACTTATTTTTCTGGAACATATTTCAGGTACAAGGAAGGTATGTTAAAGGCCAAATCAGATGATCAGGAAACTATACAGCTTATAGAAGGTGCAGCAGCAGGTAAGTTACAGTAACCCTTTAACTCCTGTGTATGAACAATGGACTGGCCCCAGTGCTTTGAATTAGGAACTTACCATTAAGTAGATGAATGGATTTCATTGTCAAAAAAGTTATTTTTTGATTAACCTTTAAAAGGGAGTGGTGGTCTAGTGATTAAGGTGTCTGCCTCTCAACCCTGAGATCATGGGTTTGAGCCCTATTTGGGACACAACCTTGTTTCTTCATATGACACCAGTACTGGTTGGTTCCAGGAAGCGGACTTGAAAGTGATTGATATAAGTTGCAGAACTTGTTTCACAATCAAGCTTAAATAAATATAGTTAAACCAACCTATAGCATGCTGAAGGCTTACTTAATCTTTGCATGTCTATTTAGCTTATGGAATGTTGGTGGCTCTTACACAGGTGCCCGTTTGACCTGAAATAATGCACTGAAGGATACCTGAGGTCTTCCTCCACCAGTAGAGCTTGAAAGTCACCATATGACCTTTACTGTGTTGGTGCAACATAAAATCCAACCAAAAAAGAAAATCTGCCCATGTAACCAGTGCAGAGTAAGATCAGCTGGCATATTTGTGCCATCTAATTAAGGTCATGTGTGCTGTTGGCTGGTCATTTACTGGTAGTATATATTTATGAAAAAGATTTATATACTAAAACTGGCTAGCCAGCAGTAAAGAGTCTGGTCAAACTGTACAGATGCACAGGCTGATCTGGTTTGAATCTTATGCAAGAATACAGTGTCAGAATGCCCTTGTGCTGAGAGGTTGCCTTAAGAATTGAGGCATCAGAATTGCAGCCAGTGTTTATCCCTGTGTGATAGTTAGAGGAAACTAAATGCATTTGAATATATGTAGTCTATGCATCTCTTAGCACCAGCAAGTGATGTGGTTTTGACCCCTGGTGTTGTCAACCTATTATGGAAGGTCAGTGGTTCCACTTAAATGCCTGCTTGTGCATGAAATTATGCATGAAGGGCACCTTAGGTCCTCTTCCAACAGGAAAGCTGAAATGTCACCATTACTTCAGGAATGTTTCAATTTTGCTTTTAGTTAAACCTAAAACAAAAAAAGATATTTGAGATATTTTAATGTTATACTATATAACAGGTATGGTAGCTACAGTAGAGAATTATGGAACAGATGCCCTTGAGGATTGGGAAGTAGATGAACTCCTTGACTGGACCACAAGTCTTAACTTTGAAGAGTAAGCTTCCTTAAGTTTTTGATAAATTCTGCCTTGAATTCTCATATCACATTACATATCTTGATTGCGATGTTATAGAATCATTATGTATTTCATTATATTTTATATGAAAGAACCTTTCTGATTGGCTGATTTGTGTAAATGCCACAAGACCCCTAAATGACATGTAGACCTGCTGATTTTATCATAGCATCATATTTTTTCAAACATTTACTCATAGTATTGACAGTGGTATACAATATAGCCATTATAGACTTATGTTTTGATCAATTTATAGTTTTTTTGACCTAATAAAAGTTAAATATTATTTTTCTCCGGTCTGAAAAAACAATATCAAGACCTCAGCATAGACTATAATTGTATATTATTGCAATATGTTAAGCTAAGCCACTGAGTTCTCAACAGTTTACTGTATAATCAGATATTTTTGTAAAGCCAAATTTTTGCAGAATCTATATTTCCGTCAAAATTTGTCAGATCAAGTAATACAGATTATCTACTTTCAATTCTGTCAAATTTATATGAAACTTAGTGAACATTTACTTTGTCTCATTTAGAATAGATTGATATACTTATGTACATGGATTTTTTTCAGTTACCAGAGTGGATGGAAAGAACTCGCTACCAGTGCAAACTCTGAAAAACAAATAGGTTTGTATAAAGATTTTTTCTATAATTTTTATATATTAGTATCATTTAATATTACCTGCTTTGTATTAATTTAGATTCATATTGATGTAAATATTCAAATTTTCTTACTGATTTTTTCAGGTACAAGTACATGTAGTAATATTTTTTTCTTTATCTAATATATTTTACCATATATTTAATCAATTTAAGATCAAAACTTTTTTTTTCAATTATATGTTGACAGTTTTTGTTTTGTTTTTGGTTTCAATAAAACGGATGAGTACTGTAAAAAAATAGAAAATAGGATTTTTTTGCAAGGGTTTTGGTTAAGATTATTAAAAATACATTAAAATTAAGATTATTTTTTATGTTAAAATACTGATTGGCCACATTGTAGCAAAAGTTCCTAGTACAGTCTGGGATAGAATTCACACAGCCTCTGAATCCACAGCAGGTTGGTGTAAAAGATTTGAAGTGAACCGCAGCTATTTTATATTCGGCTGTTTTATATATCTTTGTATCAGTCATGTACATGTATTCTGCTTTGCCTGTCATTTATTACTGCCTTTGTATATTGAGCCGCATCACGACAAAAACAACATAGTATGTTTGCGACCAGCATGGATCCTGATCAGACTGCACTGATCCGTGCAGTCTGATCAGGATCCATGCTGTTCGCTATCAGTTTCTCTACTTGTAATAGGGTTGGTAAGCGAACAGCATGGATCCTGATCAGACTGTGTGGATGCGCAGGCTGGTCTGGATCCATGCTGGTGGCAAACGCATTATGTTGGTTTTGAAATGATGCGGCTCAATTATGTCTGTATTGTTTATGTTAATGTTCATTATGGCCTGTTTTTAGAATTGTATTGACGACATCCTTGTATAAAAAAAAACGTGTATGTATCGTTTTTTTCTTACATCCCAAATACTCCTTTATCCTCAAACTTGCATTTTAATCTGAAACTGCTTTTAGGCCAAACAAAAAATCATAGGACAATTGGATCCATCTATAAGTTGTAATTATTAGGCATATTTTATTGTTTTCTGTGTTTAAAAAAGATTAAACAAGCTTAAAATAAACAAAGAGCAACACAATTCATATCAATTTTGTAAGTAATCAATTTTTAGCTCACCTGTCACAAAGTGACAGGCTGAGCTTTTGTGATCGTTTTTCGTCAGCGTCCGTCCGTCCGTAAACTTTTACTTTAAATGACATCTCCTCATAAACCACTAAGCCAATTTCATCCAAACTTTACAGGAATGATTCTTGGGTGGTCACCTTTAAAAATTGTTCAAAGAATTTAATTCCATGCAGAACTCTGGTTGCCATGGCAACCAAAAGAAAAAACTTTAAATATCTTCTTTTAAAAAACCCAAATAGCTAGAGCTTAGATATTTGTCATGAATCATCTTCTAGTGAGTGTCTACCAAGTTTGTTCAAATAAAAGCCCTTGGGTCAAAATTGGCCCCGCCCCAGGGGGTCATTGATTTTCCCTATATGCATATAGTAAAAACTTAAAAAATCTTCTTTTAAAGAACCCAAAGAGCTAGAGCTAAGATATTTAGCAAGTAACATCTTCTTATAAGTGTCTACCAAGTTTGTTCAAATAAAAGCCCTGGGGTCAAAATTGGCCCCGCCCCGGGGGTCATTGATTTTCCTTATATGTGTATAACAAAAACTTAAAAAATCTTCTTTGAAAAAACCCAAATAGCTAGAGTTTAGATATTAAGCATGAAACATCTTCTAGTAAGTGTCTACAAAGTTTGTTCAAATACAAGCCCTGGGGTCAAAATTGGCCCCGCCCGGGGGGTCATTGATTTTCCTTATATGTGTATAGCAAAAACTTAAAAATCTTCTTTGAAAAAACCCAAATAGCCTGAGTTTAGATATTAAACATGCAACATCTTCTAGTAAGTGTCTACAAAGTTTGTTCAAATAAAAGCCCTGGGGTCAAAACTGGCCCCGCCCAAGGGGTGTCATTCTTTTTAACTATATGTGTATAGTAAAAACATAAAAAATCTTCTTTTGAAAAACCCAAATGAGCTAGAGCTTAGATGTTTAGCATGAAACATCTTCTTATGGGTGTCTACCAAGTTTGTTCAAATAAAAGCCCTTGGGTTAAAATTGGCCCTGCCGGGGGGGGGGGGGGGTGTGAAGGTCATTATTTTTCATTATATGTGTGTAGTAAAAACTTAATATCATGAAACATCTTCTAATGGGTTTCTTCCAAGTTTGTTCAAATAAAATCCTTGGGGTTTAAACTGGCCCAGCTCCGGGGGCCTATATACAGGTGAGCGACTTCAGGGCCATCATGGCCCTCTTGTTATGTCTTAACATTACTTTAAGCAGATTTACTTCACTTCAATGTTTATATTTCTGGTCTTTCTGGATCATTAATTTCAGTATTTTTAAGTGTTGAAAATTGAGTATCACTCTTAAAAAGTACCCCTGAAGCCGGTGATAGGGGTCATGAGGGATGTTGCACTTTTTCATTATCCCTTATGCACTGTGAGTGATTTTCCCTCATTTACAGACTCAATCAAACAGAGTCTGTGATTTTCATGTAATTTTGTTATGATTAATGCTTTAGAGAGATCATAATTTTCATGTAGATATTACGTTTAAAACTAGATAAACAGACCTAAAAAAAAATCATGATATGTGTTAAACAGAAGCCCAAGTAAAAACAAAATTTCAGGATTCACAATTGGACTTTAGATTTAAACTATATGAAGCATCAACAAACCTTACATATTCTTTCCTAAAACATCATTGTATACTCGTAAAGGAACTTATTCATTCCTTGAACATATTGCAGGAGATTCTTGGAGAGAATTGGAAAACTTCCAGTTGAGATTTGTTTGCCTTTTTTTAAACATGTGTGCAATCAGAGCAAAATAAGCTTTTAAAACAAATCTTTTAAGATGTCTAAGAATATTCTTTCTTTACAGCTGAACTGAGCACAATTTTATTAGTATATCTTATGCAGAATTGAAAAGTATTTTCAAAGAAATCATTCCTCAAAGATATTGTAGATCAGATGCCATGAATAGGTGTGGGGGAACATTTTAGTTTTATTATTAACAGATTAAAGCTTAAAGGCACATATTATGCCTCGGAAACAAATAAATATTTCCTTCTTTAGAAAGGGAAAACTTAAGTTTTATATCATTTTAATAATGTTGTTAAAGCATGTAAGTTGCTTTTCACTTGGAGAAAGAAGTATTGAATTTGTCATTCATTGTCATGAAAGTAGCAAAACGTGAACAAAGTAGTATTTTAGCTTCCAGACAAAATACTGAATCACTATTACTGTACCTATTGCCAAAAAATAGCAAACAATGCAAAAGATGATTCCAATAATTAACAAATGAGTAACTGTTTGGAAACTATTTCTGGATATTAAAAATAAAAAGCTGTTGATAAATGAAAATTAAAGCATTTCTGAAGAACAATTTGCCTTTAAAATTTACCATATGATCTTAAGAGACTTATAATAATAAGATAACAACAATTG